AAGATTGACACGCCAAAAAGCGATGACAATCTTAGGGATTCGCCTTCAAAAAATAAGGGAATCCCTAAGATTGGCATCGTGATAAGGAGGTGCCCAGCATAGGGATAGGGATATGTTCCAGGCTGGTAAATTATGCGCTGCGGGGGAGGAGGGGGGGCGGGGGAGAGTCGGGTCGGGCGAAGGGGGGGATAGCAAAGGGATGGTTTGAGAATCCGCTCAAGTCGCTGATTTTCCCGGCGCCTCCCGGCGCCGGGAGGCGGCTATGTATCTAGGAATGGCCCCCTCGGTGGGGCCGAAACCAGCTGCACGCAGCAGATGTCGTAACCCCCCCTTTCCCAATCCCCCCCCTGTCGTCCGGCCCGAGAGGGGGGCGGGGAAGAGGGGGCAAGATCAGTCAGCATCGAATCGGAAATCCGGTCGACTCGAAAGAATATCGAAATCGAATTGGATCGGACCGGCCGGAATCGATGTCGAATCGGAACGATCAGATCGAAACAGACCCTGAGGGGGAGGAGGGGGACGAGGAGAAGGACCATACTGGAGACCTTCTGGATGCGGTCCAGGCAAATGGGGTCGGAGGATCGCGCTGCATCGCCGATGCATCGCAGATGCATCGGCGACGTCGGCGATGCGTCGGCGATTCGTCGGCGATGCAGCGCGATCCTCCGACTCCATCTGTGAGGCCTAAACACATGCGCTCGCGTCGTAAAAAAAATGCGACGGGAGGCTTTTGGCTGCTCTCGACCCCTGGGGACCCTCGCTAGGCCCCAGGAGCGTGAAAAAATACTCGGTGAGCCAGCGGCCATGCGGAACGGGTCGGAGGACCCTGACATGCTGAGATCTGAGATCCTGGCGTCGCACATTTTTCACGAAGGTCGATTTGGCTCTGTCTCGGGTCATGGGGCCATCAGATGTCGACGATCCGGCTCGAGACATGCGGCAGGAAGATTGGGCGTGGGGCCTCCGGTCGTGATGTTCCACGATGTACAATTTTTCGTGGCGTCGACTCTCTCATGGGAGGCGGAGGAGGAGGAGGAGGAGGAGGAGGAGGGGAGGAGGAGGAGGGAGGAGGAGGGGGAGGAGCACGGAGGTGACAGGGAACTGCCTCGCACCTTCCTGGCGAGTGGATAACAAAGACTACATGTATGCCCAGACAGGTGAACGAGGTGGCCAGTGAGATTCCCATTCGGACAAAAGGATACCCATCTGAGTAGCTGCTGCAGGAGGTTCCACTTATGGCAATGAGCTTCGAAGAAATATCAAGCGAGAGCCCCCGTTTTGAAAAGGAGCCGCCCTCCTGCCAAGCAGCGGCTACATTTGTTCAACTTGCTCACCTCATAGTCTGAAGGAAGTCTCATGCGAGAGCCCCCTTTTGAGAAAGAGACGTCCACCTTACCCGTACCTGTCGTAAACTTTGAACAACATGTACGCGGCGCTGAGACGACAGCCACGTTTCGGACAGGAACGTGTGCTCCACTCTTACAACTGCTCCAGACTTTGGGCGAAGGTGACCTACCGAGTTATGTCCTTCCTCTTCCGAAAACGTCTTCCCTTCCAGGAGGTTTGCCCCCCTCCCCTCCCTGAGGTTTTTTGGGGGTTGCCGCGGAGTGTCAGGGCGCCCACGATGGCCCAACATGGCTCCAAAAGGGCCTCCACCGCTCCAAGATGACCTCCAAGATGGCTCAAAATGGCCGACGATGGTTCAAGATAGCCTGGACCATAGCTTCCGACAGACCTCCAAGAGGCCCAACGAGGGCCACAGGACGGTTCCATGCGCTCTCGGAGCCCCGTCAGGACCTGCTCCAAGAGCCAAAATCCATCAAACACCTGAGGAGCTTAAATGATGTGTGCCTTCTCGCCTCTTCGCTTCCAATGCGATCTCGAGGCCTCAAGATGGCCGTGAAGCGCGGGGCGCTGTCTCTTCAAAACGAGGGCCCAACACCACAGGATGGTTGGGAATAGAAAACGACCACGTGGAGGTGGGTGTGCTTGGAGAGCGGAGGGTGACGGATTGAGGTTCGATGTGCTCCGTCTCTAGCCTCGGCGCCTCGGGGCCACGCGTCCAGTCGGCGTCGTCGCTGAGGTTTATCTCCTGTGCTTGCTCACTCGGCGCCCGTACAGATGTTTTGGTTCCACTGGGTACTCTGCTTTTTGCAGTGCCTGCCTTTGCTGACAGGCTCTTAGGGTCGTCAGCGTCGCAATCACAAAAACCCTCCCTCCTCCCTCGACCTTCCTCATTCATTCCTCCTCCCTCTCCTCCTCCTCCTCCCTCTCCTCTTCCTCTTCCTCTTTCTCCTCCTCCTCCTCCTCCTCCTCCTCCTCCTCCTCCTCCTCCTTCTCCCTCCATGCACTCCTCACTCCTTCCCCCAATCCTCCAGTTCCTCTTCCTCCCTCTGGAGGAGCAGGAGAAGGAGGAAAACGGGGAGGAGGGCAGAGGGGCCGCGCGCGGCCAGCGAGGCGCGCGGTCGGCGGGCCCCCCGCGCGCCCCGCGCGCCGCGCTCGCGCGCGACACCGGCTGCCAGCGGCCGCCCCTCACGGAATGGGCTCGCCTGGCGTGGGCTGGCGGAGGGGGGGAGGGACAGGGTCGTGGATGCCACGGCAATGGACCCCCTGATAGACCTATCACTGAATTCAAAAGGTGCTTTAAATGTCGGACACCTGTTCTAAACATGTTTCAAACATATGTTTTGCATGTTAAAGCATGTTTAACACATGTTTTAGACATCTGGGAATTACTTGGCAACATGCTTCCTCTCCATTGATCGTCCTCCACAAGGATAGGGAGGCGAGGAGGGGGAGGAGGGCCGACGTCCTACCCCTCCCTCCTATCCCTACCGCTGCGCTGGGTTGTCTCTGTCCGCGGACGCGTGCCAAAACGGACCTGGAACTTCCAGAAAGACCCCATCGTGCTCCGCGTACTCGGAAAGTGGGAACTGTGTGGCGAGCTGGGGGAAAGGAGTGGAGGGGGGGAGGGGGAAGGGAGGGGACGGCAAGCTAGGTGGGCTCGCGCCACATCTGACAGCCTCTCCCTCCATCCCATCCCTGCCCATTGCGCTGATCTGTTTCGCAACCCGTTGGGTTCTCGTTTTGAATTGAGCACTGAGGTCTCCACCTTCCCACCCTTTTCTTTTTTGCAACCCTCCTGCGCTAAGTGTTCCCGCCTTCCTGGTCCTGGTCTCCAATGTTCCCGCCTCCCTCCTCCTCGCTTCCCTCCGTGTCTCTTCCCTCCTGCCTTTTGCTCGTCTCTTGCCTGCCTGCGAGTCTGCCTCTCAATTCGCCATCTCTCGGGGGGGCTGCGAGCTGTGAAATTCAGATTAGACATGACCATCTCTTGGGGGCTGCGAACTGTGAAACTGTCGCCACTTGAGAGGGCTGCAGGGTGGACAAGCGGAGTGACGTTTTGCGCAGACTCAGATTAGCCCGTACCATCCCTGGGGGGGGCTGCGATTTGTGAAACCGTCGCCATTTTCGAGGGCTGCTGGGGGGGCCAGCGGAGTGACGTCACACACAGACTTATATTAAACCTCGCCATCCCCTGGGGCTGCGAACTGTTATTAAAATGTCGCCACTTTCGAAGGCTGCTGGGGGGCCCAGCGGAGTGACGTCTTAGGCAGACTCATATTCTACCTCGTCATCCCTGGGGTTGCTGCGATCTGCGACACTGTCGCCACTTTAAAGGGCTGCAGTGGCCCAGTGAAGTGACGTCACACGCAGACTCAGGTTATACCTCGCTGCCCTGGGGGGGCTGCGAACTGCGAATGTGTTGCCCGTTTCGAAAGCTGCTAGGAGGCCCAGCGGAGGGGGCTGCAATCTGCGAAACTGACGCCACTTGCGAGGGATGCTGGGGGGCCCAGCAGGGTGACGTCATACGCAGACTCTGATTCGACCTTCGCGAACTGCGAAACCGTCGCCACGTTCGAGGGCTGCTGGAGGGCCCAGCGGAGTGACGTGATACGCAGACACCCGGGGGACTAGGATTTGCGAAACGGTCGCCGCTTGCGATGGCTGCTGAGGATGAGGTCCAGCGGAGGGACGTCATACGCAGACTCAGGCTAGACCTCACCATCCCTGGGGAGGGCTGCACCCTGCGAAACTGTCGCCACTTTCGAGAGCTGCTAGGGGGGATCTGGCGGAGTGACGAATTACGCGGATTCAGGTTTGACCTCGCCATCTCAGGGGGGCTGCGATCTGCGAAACTGTCGCCACTTTGTAGGGCTCAGCGGAGTGGAGTGACGTCATACGCAGACTCGGATGATACCTCGCTGCCCTGAGGGCCTGCGAACTGCCAAATCGTTGCCTGTTCTCTAGGGCTGCGGGGGAGGGGTTCCCGCGAAGTGACGTCCTGCACAGATTCAGCTTAGGCATCGCCATCCCTGTGTGGCTGCAATCTGCGAAACTGTCGCCGGATTCGAGTGTTGCTGGAGGTCCAACGGAATGACGTCCTACGCAGACTCGGATCAGACCTTACCATTCCTGGGGGGGGCTGCGAATTGCGTCGCCACTTTCAGAGGATGCTGGGGTCCAGCGGAGCGACGTCCTACGTAGGTGCAGAATCAACCGCGCCATGGACCCCGACCGCTTTTTCTGCACTCGTGATGAACCGCGCATCATTCGAAGCGCCAGGGCGACATCGCGCGGGCTGGGCTGCGTATCAACGTGCCAGAGGAAACTCGTCGTCACCTTCCTCATCCTGCCTCGTCCGTTGTCGCCTTCCTCCCTCAGCGTATCCCTGCTGCTGCCGCGTTGACGTGTAGGCCCCCCTTCCGTCCTTCTCCCGCCCCCCGTTCCCGCCCCCATTCCTCTTCGAGCATGGGGCCTCACTGCTCGTCCTTTTATCGCTGTCCTGCGAGTCGTGCAATGCGCGCGCACCCCATGTAGCTTCCACAACGGATGACGGTTCCTGCATTGTCGCTATCCATACGAATCTTGACCAACGGCTTTGTCACGTGATGCGAATGGGCTGGGTGCGTGCAGGGTAAGTTTCTACCCGCGGACGCGTGTCATCGCCGACCTGGAAGTCCACTACCCCAACGATGCACTGCAGTAGTGGGAACTGTTGGACTTGTGTGATCTGCGGGACCTGTGGAACATGTGGGACCTCTGTGGCCTGTGGAACTTGTGGAACCTGTGGAACAGGCGGGAACTGTGGACCTGTGGGACCTGCGAGACCTGTATGACATGTGCGGCCTCGGGGACCTCTGTGGCCTGTGGGGCCTGTGGGACCTGCGACACCTGTGGGACATGTGGGACCTGTGGGAGCTCTGGGAGCTGTGGGACCTGCGAGACCTGTGCGACTGGAGAGACATGTGGGACATGTCAAACATGTGATGCATGTGGGACATGTTTGGCCTGTGGGGCGACCTGCGACACTGTGGATCGTGCGACCTGTGGAACATGTGGGGCCTGCGAGACCAGTGGGACCCAGAGAAGTGGCCCACGCTGGGGCGAGAGCACAATTGTGAACGACGGGAGCAAAGTACCGATCCAAACACGAAGCCTACGCTGCAACGAGAGCACCATTTTTAACACCGGGAAGCAGTAGGATTGAAATGAAAAACATTACTCTGGCGAAGGACCCGACCATATGCAGCTGTGAGCACCGTGGTGTTGCATGGCTTTCGGTGGAGCTCCCTGTGGGGCCACGCACCGCGTGAGGTGTGCGCCAAAAAAGGCGGCATCGCCATGCGAACCCCACCACAAGGTGGGACCTTCGGTGGAGCTCCCCATGGGGCCACGAACCGCGTGAGGTGTGCGCCAAAATAGGGCGGCAACGCCATGCGAACCCCACCACAAGGTGGGACCTTCGGTGGAGCTCCATATGGGGCCACGAACCGTGTGAAGGATGCGTCAAAAAAGGCGGCATCGCCATGCGAACCCCACCACACAGTGGGACCTTCGGTGGAGCTCCATATGGGGCCACGAACCGCGTGAAGGATGCGCCAAAATAGGGCGGCAACGCCATGTGGTCCCTGCCACCGGGGCCTTCGGCTGAGATCCCTACGGGGCCACGGCCCATGTGAGAAAAGTGCGCCACAGCGGGGCGGCGCCGCGATGTGGGTCCTGCCACTGGGGCCCTCGGCTGAGATCCCTATAGGGGCCACGAACCCTTTGAGGTGTGATGGACCTGGTTTCCACCACCACCACCATAAGTTGGAGGGGGAGGGGGTCCTCCTCCTCCTCCTCCACCTCCTCCTCCTCCTCATCCTCCTCATTCCCCCCTCCAGCTTACGGTGGTGGTGGTGGAAAACAGGCCCATCAAGGTGTGCGCCAAAATGTGGCGGCGCCGCCATGTCGGCCCTGCTGCGTGCGCCTTCGATGGAGCTCCCTGTGAGGCCACGAACCGTGCGAGGGGTGCGCCAGAATGGGGCGGCACCGCCATGACCCTGCAGATGTGGCATTCGGCCGAGCTCCGCAGGGGGCCACGAGCCGTGCGAGGGTGCGTCGAAATGGGGCGGGGCCGCCGTGTGGATCCTGCTACTGGGGCCTTCGGTAGGGCCCCCATATGGGGCCGCAAACCGTATGAGGGATGCGCCAAACTGGGGCGGCGCCGTCATGTGGACCCTGCCGCTGGGGCCTTCGATGGAGCTCCCTACGGGACCACGAAGCGCTGCACTGGGTGCCGAACACACACGCATGCCGAGGGCAGTTGCATGGATGGGAGGAGGGAGGAGCGGTAGAGGGCAGCGGGCGGAGGAGGAGGATCAGGAGGAGGGAGAGGAGAACGCGGGTCGCTGTCTCTTCAAAACGAAGAACCACCACCACAGGATGGTTGAAGACACCTTCAGCGAAGAGAGCAGAGCAGTATTCATACTCAATAATTGCTGCGGAAGGGGAGGGGGCAAGGAGGAAGAGGAGGGATACGAATACGAAACTAGCAACGATGCAAGCTCCAAGGGAAATTCGCCGGCCCAACGGGCCAGAGGCGTGCTAAGATCTCCGGTAACTGGTTAACAATTTTCTAGTTCGCGCGCGCGGGGCGGCCCCTGGGGGTCCCCGGACGACCCCCGCCGGTCCCGGCCGGGTCCCGGCCGGGTCCCGGCCGGGTCCCGGCCGGGTCCCGGCCGGGTCCCCCCGAGCGCTCCATGAGCGCACCAACAGGGCTCCGAGACGTCCCCGAGAGCCCCAAGAAAGGCCAAGAGGCCCCCAAGAGGCCCCCAAGATGGTACACGAGGGGTCCGACATGCCACAAGATCGCTCCAAGACGCCCAAGATAGCCCCCAGACGCCCCAAGAGGCCTCCAAGAGCACTCCCAATAGGGCCCCCGGAGGCAAAAATCATTGTTTTTCCATAGGTTTTTGAGAGATTTTGGAGCTTCCACCTTTTCGGCTTCCCGACGCCCCAAGACGGCCCAAGAGGCCCCCAAGATCGCCCCAAGAGGGCCCAAGAGGCACCCAAGAGGGCCCCAAGATGGCCCAAGAGGGCTCGAAGACGGCCCAAGAAGCCTCCAAAACGGTCCAAGAGGGCCCCAAGAACGCCCCCAAAGGGGCCCCAGAGAGGGAACACGAAACAACATTTCGAGCCCTCGGCCCTAAGAAGCCCCTACGAGGCCCCTAAGAGGCCCCAAGAGGCCCCCACGGGGCCCTCAGGAGGCCCCCAAGAGTCCCCCAAGCGGCCCCAGGAGGCCCCCCAAATGCCCCCCCGAGTGCCCCAGGAGTCCCCCAAGCGGCCCCAGGAACCCCCAAAGCGCCGCATTGACACCAGGCCCTCGGGCAAACGGCAGACATGAGACTGTATGGGCCGGCGGAATGAGCGAAGCGATTAAATAACGAGAGGCCCTGAGTCTCCCTGGCGTCAGAAATTACATGGGGGAACTTTGCCAGCTACTGATGGGAACCTTGGCAGTCGATGACTTAGAGCCACAGGCTGGATGTTGGGAGAGGGGCAGGGGGAGGAGGGGAGGGGCAAAGGGGGACTGGGATGGGGGGTGACCTGCTTTCTCATCCGGCTCGTCTCTTTCCCGGAGGGCCAAGCTAAACCAACGATGCATCGAAGATGCTGCAGTACACCCTCCCGTCCCAAGCACCTCCTCGGACGTCCCTGCGAGCTTCCCTTCTCACTGGTAGAGTCGCCCCCCCTGAAAGACCAGCACGCGGGCCTGCAATTCTGGCGACATCCCGGTTTGGAAGAGGACGCGCCCTGCAGTCTTCTGGCGCGTAATCAGAAACGCAATAACTGTGCCCATACAGTTGAACGAGGTATCCAACGATACCCCCTTGCGGATAAGGGCAGCCCCATCCGCCCGTGTAGCTGTTGCACAATTGTCAACTTATGGCCATGAGCTCGGAGGACATCTCAACGGACACTTCCATGCTGAAAACGAGCCGCTCTGGATGCGTGCAGCGCCACGTGTGTTGAAGATTGGGGCCTTGAAGAATAGTGAGGTCTCTAGCGAGAATCCCACTTTGAGAAAAGAAACCGTCCACCATCCTCGTAAAAGTTGTTTGACACACGCATGCTTGCGGCGCAGAGGCGAACAAGAGATTTTGAACACAACCAATGCTCGATCCTTGAAGCTGCTGCAAGATGTTGACACGAATGCGCGCAACGCTAAGGCGAGAACCACACTTCGAAAAGGAACCGTCCGCAGTCTGTGATTGCAACATGCTCAAACGACGAATGTGCGCGGCGCTACGGCGAGAACGCCATTCCGAAACCGCCCCCCCTTCCATCCCTGACATGCTCCACACTTGTAGGACGAATGCGCACGGCACTAAAGCAAGAGCCGCAGTTTGAGAACCGTCCCCATCCATCCCTGAAATTATCGCCAACCTGTGCAGCAATGTGCGCGGCACCAAGGGGGAGAACAGCAGTTGAAAGCGATCCCCTCCCCTGCACCCCTAACACGGTGGCAATTTTTTGAAACGAGTGCACGCGGCGATACAGTCGGCCTTGATTGGAGAGGACACGCGAGAGGACACAAGACTCTTCCGAGGGCCACGTCGCCATTGGAGTTAAAGAAGGCACGTGTCGCGAGGCACAGGACACAAGGGTACCCTTGAGCTGGCAGGGTCGACCTGCTGTTCTGGGCCGACTGTACCATGGTGGCAATGTTTGAGACGAGTGCGCGCGGCGCTACAGCGAGAGCCACATGTCGGCAAGGAGCCGCCCCCCATCCCTGGAAGCTGCCGCAACTGTTTGAGAGAAGCGTGCGCGGCGCCAGGGCGCGAGCCACCGGCGCCGCGCACGCTCCTCCTTTGGCGGCCCCAGGTTGGAGTACACGTCAACAAGTCATCAAGAATCAGAAGTCGGGATAGGAGGACAAGGAGAAAGGGGGAAGGAGGAGGAGGGGGGGAATGCGAAAAGGTCGCGATCTGTGGGAGGGGGGGGGGAGGCCTTTGGGAGGGGGGAGCACGGGGAGGGAGGACAAGGACTCGAGTCGAGACGAGTCGAGCGCGTGTGCAGAATTCTCGAAGTGGACCTGCCCTCCGATGTCCTGGTTTATGTTCGCGCCGTGGCCCCCAAGAGTCTAGACCGCTTCGCAAGGGGCAGACTTCGCCCCGAGCAGTTATTCGACGGTCCTGGCGCCAGGTCGGGGACCCCACAGGCCGAAAGTGAGCAGAACGCAGTCCGCCGTTTTTCGCGACGCGACGAGGCACGGGGCGTAGGACGACGACGACGAGGACAAGTTCGAGAGGCACGAAGATTTGTTTGAGGAAGCAGGGCACGCAGCCTCGCTCGCTCTGAGCCCCCCTTTACTCCTCGCCCCTCTCGGCGTGCCGATGCTCGCTGCGGTGGCTGCTGCTGCTGCCGAGGGCATGCGTGAACACGACAGTGCGGCACGTTCGCGTCGTGATGGCGCCAGCGCTGTTCGCTGTTATGGCGTGGATCGTTCGACTTTGCACGATGGCGGCTGTGCGGAAGCGTGGATCGTTCGACAGCAGCTGATTCTGAGCCACTGGCGACGCCCACCCTTGAACGCTGGCGCTTGGGCAGCCGCCGCATCAACGCGGCGCAAACCATCTGTATGTAATGGGAGGTGTGACTGAAAGTGCAGTCGTACCTCTGCCTCAGGAGAGTTTCAATGAAAGCTTCGTCGCCTATGGCTCCGGCGCCGTCCCAATCTGCCTGGACCTTCTCCGAGGAGAAAATGGGCAGACGGTTGCGCATGTGAACGCGGTCGATCTCCCACATCAGGCGCTCCGGCAACACCTGAGCCGCGTAGCCCACCCCCCCCAAGTGATGCGGCTTCTCCACCTCAATCGCCTTCTGCGCGAAGTTCCAAAGCTTCTGTAGCTGCTTGTGGCAGCTGCATAAACTCTTTGGGAGTTTAGCACTTCACCACCCTCCCCCGCCAACAATCAGCAGCACGAGTGCCACTTCTTCGCCAGTGGCATGGGCGGCGGGGAGACGAGGGTGGCCTTCGAACACCTCAACGTGATGCTCACAAGAATTATTACGTATATCACTATCATCGCAATGTAACCAAGGCCAAATCGCCATACAATCGTGGTCATTGCCATCAACGTCATCAACGTAAAACAAGTCACACTCATTATGATGGCCATTAACATGAACATGTTCATTCCCATGGCTCATGACCACCCTCAAACTCACCGTCACCAACATAATGACCCGTGTGATGACCATCATCACCAACGTCACCGTCATGTTCGAGCTTAACGCTGCTATCGGTGCAGCCACACGGTTCAGCTGTCCTCTCGGCCTGCGAATTATGCTGGCTGACCTCAGCTGTTAGTGTGTCCCACCACTGCACACGCTCGTGTGACCGCAATAGCTCCCAGCGCTATTGAGACTCCTACCACCTCACCCCATGGGACAGGGGGGAGAAGAAGTGGAAGGCGGAAGACGAGGCTTGGCATCTCAATCTCTGTCAATGGGTACTCGGCGACACCCGAACGACCCTTCATCGCCCAACGAGAAGAAACAACTGGCCAAACGTTGCTCTAACCTTGGCACTTCTCGCCTTCCCGCGCCCCCCTGCGCTACTTGTCAATGCCGCTCTGGAAGCACGCACGCTCCGCGCGCGCACGCTACGGATCTGGCACCTGGGGGTGGCAGCGCCACAACAGCCGCAGGAGCCAGAAAAACTGAAGCAACCGTTGGAGCGCCGGCCTAAGCGACAGACTTGGGAACGACCCGTATAACCGACGCGGGGCTGGTGCGTCTCAGAGGTGCGGCGAGACGAATGCCCAGGCGGCCGCTCCCAAACACCAGGGGGGGGGGAGGCCACATATTTTATCTCGGCAGCCGATCGCGCGGCAACCCGGCAGGGCCCGACGCACCAGAAGCTGGAGCGGGGCAGTGCATGGGAAGAGGGGCAGGGAGAGAGGGCGAGGCAGACGAAGATGGGGCAACAGCCTGCGAGAACGCTCGCGCTGGGCAGGACGAAGACGCAGCAGGGAATACACGCGACACCCGGGTGGACGGGGGGCCCTCCCCCCACGGAGCCCACCTTGTCCACGCGGAAGGCCGCGAGGTCCTCGTCGAGCTGGGCCAGCGAGGACACGCCCACCTGGGCGGCGGCGGCACGCGGTCTGTACCATCTTCGGCCTCGTCCTCGGGAGAAACGAGGAGATACCGATCCCGCTACTCCTCGGACCTCTTCCTGGGTGCGTTCTGACCAGAACTTCGAGGCGAATCCAGCCGTGGCGACGAGGGCCTTCCAGGAGGCCCAAAAAGACGAAAACGATGACAGAGTAGCCGTGCCGATGCCTGTTCCACTTCAGCGTGTTCGGGGCGGCTGGATCAGCCAGCCCAGAAACATCGGGACCCAGAGACAGCTTGAGAGGCTCACCGTGCTTGACACCTCAGACGAAGCCAGACAGAGACAACATCGGACCAATGCAAGGCGGGGATCTCTGAGATCCGTTAGTAGAAACAGAAAAATGCCGTCCCAGTCGGTCCACCAATTGCTGGTGGAAAGCAGCTCTGAGCCCCGCTGGGATGCCTCCTGGCAGTCCTTTGTCGAGCCACGTCGGGTCGCGGCCGCTGGAAAACCAAACGAGACAAACATACAGCATGAACTCGTGATCTTCCGCATCCGAGGAGGCGGAAGAGGAAAGATAAGAGCAGGAGCAGGAGCAGGAGAGGTAGGATACGAAGAGGAGGGAGAGCAGGAGCAGGAGGGGGGGAAAGAGAGAGAGAGAGAGAGAAAGAGAAAGAGAGGTACATATAACAATTATATATATATGTGTGTACATAAACTAGCGGGAGAAGAGAAAGCAGAAAAGAGATTGTGAGAAGGTGGAAAGGGGGCAGGAGAAGGTAGAGGAGGAGAAAGAAGACAAGAGGGGACAGGAGAGACCCAATGAGACAGGAGGAAGAGGTCGTGGGGGGGGGGCGCAGGACAGGCAGGAGAAGAGGGAGCAGACGATCGAAAAGATGGAGGGAGCGATACGAAGGAGAACTGGAGGACCCCCGCCCCCGGCGCCACCAGCGTGGTCGTCACGCCCGCCCTCTGCCGGGACCAGCGGAGCGCGAGCTCCGTCTGCGTCAGCCCCGCCTCCTGCGAGGCGCCGAAGGGGGGGCGGGTGCCTCGGCGAATGAGCGAGCTGTCCCGCCTTCCCGCCCCCCCTTTTTCTGTGTTCCTCTTCCTCCTCCTCCTCCTCCTCCTCCTCCTCCTCCTCCAACTCCCCCTCCTCCTCTAACCTCCCTCATCCTCCCCCATCCTCCCCAATCTTGCTGCTTCCACACAAACACACACACACACACACAAACACACACGCACACACACACACACACACACTCACAGACTAGCAAACACCATTCCTCCTCCTCCTCCTCCTCCTCCTCCTCCTCCTCCTCCTCCTCCTTCTCCTCATCCTCCTCCTCCTCCTCCTCCGCCTCCTCCTCCTCCTCCTCCTCCTCCTCCCCCTCGCGCCTCTCTTCCGAAACCCGCCGCGAACACCCTCGGCGGCCCCCCAGAATCCCCCTTGAGGCGCCCAGAATGTGTGACGTTCTGCTTCGCTATGAGCTAGAGCAGGATCCACACACACACGCACACACACACACGCGTTACCCGCCACCAGAGCTATATCGATTTCTTCCAATTTACTGAAACGCTGTACAGTCGGGCCGATGAAAGCCGCCTGCGTGGACGAGGAACGCTAGAGAAACAGCCATGGAAGGACCTACAACATGTAAGGAACGACGAGCCACTTCCCAACCCGAACGATTCCTTATTTCAGCGTCTTGGCTGTAACCCCAACTCCACTGCCAAGAGAACGTGCAAAACGTGAAGAAACGTCTGGAGAGGCACCCGGAGGTGTCCTGCATTGCCTACCCAGTGGGCCAGGAGTCACGCTGCGAAGCTCCCTCGAGGAGTGAAAACCATCTCCACAACAACAAAAGCACGCGCGCACTCGCACACACACACACACACACACACACATATATATATATATATATATATATTCACAACAAAAACAGAGGACAGCAAATCCACCCCCATAATAAGCTCCCCAACAAGCGAAGCCGTTTAATAAACGCACCCAAGGAAGGAATCGAACAGGGCAGGGCTGCTTAGTAAACGCCCAGGGCCCTCTCGTGAACGCCAGTTGTCGGGGTCTGGGTGGATTTTTTCCCTTGAAAGAATGCTTCGCGCGATCCCCACCCGAAAACACGAGAGGGAGATACCCCGAGAGCACTGGGCCCCTTGGGGCCCGGCGGCCGCGGCATGCAGTCGTCACTCGTCGAAGACGCGCGGCGGGAGACCCAGGGAACACAGGGACCCTTGGGACCTGGCGGCCGCGGTGCGCAGGGAGTGCGAGGCGTGTCGGGAGCTCTTTCCTGAAACCTAACAGCCCCAATCTCGGGCGGGGGAAGCAGAAGCAGTTCTGAACGACAAGCGACAGCGGATAAAAATGCCCCCTCGCCCAGAGTCTCCTTGAAACCACAGCCTGTCTCAGACATCGCTGCCCCGTCAGCCTCCCAAGCCCGCTCCTGGAGAGCTGGGAGACCTTTCGGCTCGCGTTCACCCCTGGGAAGCAACTCCTGTGAAGCCTTACAAAGAAAGGTTAGGCGGCGCCGAGGCCAAGGGAAAGTGAGAGGGGGCAGGCCTTCTCAGAAGGCGGCAGGGCCTCTCAGAAGGCGGCAGGGCCTCTAAGAAGCAGTCTGGCCTGCTGACAAAATTTACCTTCTCCGAATACAAAAACGGTTTCTCAGAAGGCCAGAGGGCTTCTGAGAAGCCCCGTCGTCTTCTGAGAAGGCCTGCCCCATCTCACTTCCCCCTGGACTCGCCACCGAGTTTAAAACGTTACTACACCAGATGGATGGGGCATTGAACCAAATCGGCTCAGATTGAGCCCAAGATTCAGCAAAATCGGGCAACTGAAGCGGGTCTGGACCAAATTCAGAGGGATCAGGCCGGATGCCGACCAAGGATATACCAGCGGCGATGCTGAATTGAACCTCTCTCACAAACTGCATCCCAACCACCCCTCCGATGCCAGCGGGGATCCTTGGCCAGCGCGGCGTAGCGCTTGATGGCGTCGAGCGCCGCGTCGCTGGCGCGCCAGGGGGGGTCAGGTCAGAGAGGCGAGAGCCGCTGCGACGAAAACACGAAATGAATCATAGTTGCCAGGTGTGCGCCGGAAAAACTTGTCTCACGCAACCCCCTGCGAGAAGCTTACGCGCGAATGTCGGCGCAGACGACCCCATTATTCCGTCGCGCAAGTGTGTGTGTGTGTGGTGTGTGGTGTATGACTGTGAGTGTGAGTGCGAGTGTGGGTGTAATTGCGAGTGTGAATGTGAGTGTGTGAGTGTGAGAGTGTGTGTGAATCTGAGTGTGAGTGTGAGTGTAAGCGTGAGCGTGAGTGTGAATGTGAGTGTGAGTGTGAATGTGAATGGGAATGGGATTGGGAGAATGAATACGAATGTGAATGTGAATGTGAATGGGAATGTGAATGTGAATGTGAATGTGAATGTGCATGTGAATGTGAATGTGAATTTGAATGTGAATGTGAATGTGAATGTGTGTGTGGCTGTGTTTGTGTGTGCGTATGTGTGTTCGCCCCCGGGATACTCGGAAAACGTTCCCAATGCTGCCGGTGCCACGCAAAACTACAGTCTACTCCGCCTTGGCTGCCGCAGGCGTCTTGACTCGAGGCTCGGACCGTGCACGAGGGCGCGAGCGCACGACAATGGCTCCAACGGCCCAGGAATACCTCCGAACTGCAGCTGGTGTTGGCGAACGGCCAGGACCAACGCATCCCTATCCGATGCCAGAGTGTTCTTCTCCTCGGAGATCTGAGCGGCAGCGATCCCGGCCCCAGGCGACGCCTCGGAGATGCCTCTCGGGACCCGTCCAAGCCGGTCCCGGGCCCGCCCATGAACTCTATAGGGGGCCTTCGGGGTGACGGCCGCCCCTGAAGGTTCCGCGTCAGCAGCAGTCAAGGAACGTGGAAGGAGCGAGGAGGACTCGCGCTCAGAGCCGAGCGCCCCCTCTCGGGCTCGAGCGCCCCCCTCGACGCGGTAATACCAGCGCTCTGACTGCCGTCCGACCTCCGCAACTCGCGAGGCTGGAAGCCGGCGCCGACCTAGCCCAAGCCCATGAGACGCGGCCATCCGCGCGTGCGAAGGGCCTTGACGTCCGCCTGCAGCAGCGGCCATCGGCACTTCACCTGCCGCAGCGCGCGCCGCGCGGTCTGCCGCGGCATGATGGGCCGCGGCCCCGCTTTGGCGGCGAAGGCGCACGAGGTCTGCACCAGGAGCAGCGCCTCCCGTCTGGACAGAGATGCCCGCGTGATGTGCCCGAGCAAGGCCTGCGTGGGCGGGCAGCTGCACTTGCCAATGCGGAGCTGCTTCTCGATCGCGAGCCCCAGCCGCCACAGGCATGTCGGGCGCGTGGCGAGGAACCGCCCGCGCGCCACACGCATGCCGAGAAACCCGGCGTGGTGGCAGGTGGCCTCGCGGTCGTGAACGACAAGGCCCTACTCCTCGTGCCCCCTCTGTGCTGCGTCGAAACGCTGGTCCGTCTGGGCGGCGGCGTCGGCCACGAAGACGGAGCACATGTCAGCGCGGTCCGCCGCCGTCGGCGCTCGGCCGCGCTGCGCCCGACGCCCCGCCCGCCCGCCCTCGACGCAACTTCTGGGCGAGGAGCTGCCCGGGCTGAGGCCTCGACGAAGCGCGGCCTGGCACGACTGGCCATCGCTCGGACGTCCATTTCCTGTGTTTTTTGTCGGTTTCGTGCGTGGCTTTTTCGCCAAATGGTCGAGGATGCTCCTCGATGGTCCTCGCCGAAGGAAAAATGCACACGTCCGGGCGATGCCAAGACGAGCGCAGGGCCCGCGAGAAGTCCATGGGGAGGGCGCGAATGCAGGGCGCGGCAAACTCACTGGCGCCCGCCGGGAGCCCCCCGCGGTGCCGCGGCCGAGCCGCGGCCCCGCGCCCGAGCTCGGCGGCGATGGTCGCTCCGCCTTGCCCGGCGGCGCCAGCGCGTGGCAGAAGGTCGCCTCGAGTTCTCTGGAGGCGACGAACGCTTTCTGATCCCCCCCCTAGCGATTCGAAGGCAGAGGGGGTCGGCGGACGCGCGGGCGGGACACGCGCGTCGAATGCGATCTTTGCTTGGCCGCCCTTGCGCCGAGCGAGCGGAAGTCCAGGGTCTCTACCGCGACCGCGCTTCCAAGCCAGCATGCAACGACGCCGAGCCTCCCTCCTGAAAGCAGCGCGCTCATGAGCACTGCGCTTCCACGCCAGGTCCACGCGCGCACCCGGCGCCCTCCGCGCAGAGACTCCGAGCGCTCCTGGAGGCACGCGGCACGCCCCGCTTCCACTCCCCAAGCCGCGAGGCGCCCAGGTCGCCCAGCAGGTCTGTCGGGAACGCAGCATGGCTGGACTCGCCGTCCGGGCGCGTCCTAAACGAGCGCGCAGAGGGCCCCCTGTCCTGAATCGAGATCTGGAGGCGGAGGTCCCACACGCCGATAGCTGAGGCGAGAGCGTTCCAAGGCCAAAGGCTGTCCCGCGCTGGGGCTGGCGGAGGAGCTGGGACCAAGACTGCCGGGCATATCATGCATCGCGAAGACGCCCTCGGCGGCCCACATGTTGGCGCGGGCAGCGCGGAGGCGACGACGAGCCACGAGATCCAAGGCAAAAAAGGCCAGGCGCCAGCTCGAACGCGGCATGCCGGAAGAGGTCGCGTTGGCGGCCCTCGCCCACGCACACTGAATAACTGCTCCTTTTGGGCAAGTGGCAATCGCGGCGGAAGGCTGCCCAGCCCCCCAGCCGCTGCACCCCCCGCGACTCCCCTCACTGCCAGACCGCTTGGCAGCGGGCCCGGGGAAGGCTGGTTCCTCTCGCGTCTTACGGCGCTCTTCCGCCAGCGATGCCTCCTTGGAAAGCTCCGCGGACGCGTTGGACGGGAGCTGAAAGCCAACGCCCAGGTTGCTCCATGAGAGCTGGCTCCCGAGAAAGAGATGCCGATAGTGGTTGCCCATCATCACCAGTGCTGAGGCGATGGCGAGACCTCTCCTCTGGACCTGCAAGAGAAGGCACGCGACCTCGAACGAGGCAAGAAAGGCAACGTTCAGCTCGCCGTAGCAGTCGCCCTGCTGCAGGATGCGGCAGCACTCATCGTGCTCCATCACCCCAGGCTCGGCATCCGCGAGGCGGAACATCGTCTTGAACTGCGCGTGCCCCCCAGGAGGCGCGCCGCCGATGAAACGGCAGACCCACGGACAAATCCTGGGTCCAGACAGCCTCGAATCTTGCCAGGGGTGTTCGACCAGCCGCGGCACGCCACCACGGAACTCCACGCGCGCCGTTGACAAGTTGACCGAGCACAGCGAAGCTGGCCACGAGCACCCGAGGACCAGGCGGAGCCACGCCTGCCAAGGCGGCCTGGAGCCGCGGGCCCAGGCACCGCCAGCGAGGGGCGGGGGCGGAGACAGGCCCAGGCGCCAGCGCCCCCAGCCACGAGGGGGGTACTCCAAATCCCTTATCAATCGTCCCCCGGGTCCGGCTTGATAAGGCGCCTTTTTTGTAACTGGGGGGGTCCGGTTTATCAGGGCGCTTTCTGTGGATTGGAGCTTAGGGGTCTGGTTTATGGAGGCGCCCCGTCGAAGAGGGGGGGTCCGGAATACTAGGTCGCATTTGGAAGCGGGTCCGGTTTTTTTAGGGGGGGGTCGATTCATGAGGGATTTGGAGTAGGGGGAGGGGGGAAGGCTTCTTGGAAGCACCCCTGCTTCTCAGAAGGCGCGGGCCTTCCGCGCCTTCTAAGAAGCAAGGGTGCTTCTCAGAAGCCTTCCCCCCTCCCCTGAAGTACCCCCTCGTGCGCGCCGACGGGCCCCTGGCACGGCGGGCGCGGCGGGTGGCCCGCCGAGAGCTGCGGCAAGCCCGCCCGACCCTTGCGCCGAAGCCGGCGGCGCCCGCGGCGCTCGCCCCGCCAGCTGCGCCCCCCCCCCCCCCCCCGGTTCGCCAGAGAGTGGGCTCTGGCGGGCAACCCCGACGGGCTCCCCGCCGCGAGGTCGAGGTTGAGGACGCCGAGGGGAGGCCAAGGGAACCCAAACGCGGCCGCGCGGCCTCCGCGTTCAAGCCACTGTGAGCACACCTCCCGCCGCAGGCCTCCCTCCTCCCTGCGGGTCGCGCCCAGCATCTCGCGAGAGCGCGCGGGCCGCACGACCATACGCCCCTCGGCCGCTCGGCCCGCCCATCGGGGAAGGCCCTGGGCGCACAGGTCGCCCTGCCGGCCGCTCGCGGCGGCGACACCCAGCCTGAAGGGGCCCTGGGACACACGCAGAGAAGTAGACACAACATGACAGGATCCCCCATATGTTCCCATGTGTTCTGGGTCTTTGCTGGTCCTCCCCCCAGCTCCCACAATTTCCCACATGTTCTGGGGGCTCGACGATGAATTCTGTCCGTGTGCTTCTCCCCTCCTGACGTCCCGGCGCTGACACCGAGGCAGCGAGTGGGGGTCTCGTCTCGGGGGGCACGCGCGCCCAAAAGATCCCCCCCTGGGCTGCGACGCGGCGGCCTGCCAGGGCCCACCGGCGCCCCGCGCCCTCTCGGGGCCCCCCCTGCGCGCCCGCCGCGCCGAGACCCGTCCCATGACCTGCCCTCTCCCTGCGCGCGCGCGCGCCTCGTGCAGCCTCCGCGCGCGCGACCACGCCCCGCAGGGAGCACCGCGGGGCCCCACGAGCGAGCGCACCGCTCGGCACCTGCGCAGCGCTCGGCCGCGTAAGCGTGCCTCCGCGAAGGCCCTGGTCCCTGCAGCGAAAGAGGCCCGCAAGGCCCGGTCCGCGTCTTCGAAGTATCGGGGGGTGGCCTTCGAGAGAGAGGGAAGGAACAAATCAGGTCGAGGATGAGGAGTTGAAGAAACAAGAGTAGAATGGGGAAGCTCAACCGTCGGAGGGGAGAATGAATTTTTACGCGGCGCTCAATCCGAGGGAACAAAATGTATGAACCACACGCGGGCCCAATTACGGGAACATTCCGAGCAACTAAGCAAGAACGGCATCGATATGAATTGCATTGCACCTATTTGCCTTGCTGGGCATGGCTTTTTCGTTGCTTTGCATTCATTGGCGTCGCTTGGCATTCCATTGCCGTGCGTTTCTTTGCATGTCCTTGCGATGCTTGGCACTGCGTTGCTTGACATTGCGCTGCTTTGCATGGCTTGGCATTGCTTGGCAGTTCCTTTGCATTGACTGGCGCTGCCTGGCATTGCTTCGCATTGGTTTGCCTTGCTTTGCATTGTCTGGCGTTGCCTGCGTTGCTCGGCATTCACTGGCATCAACTTGCATCGCTTGGCATTGCTGATCGCGGCAACGCTTTCTTTCCATTCCCTCAATCGGCATCGTCTTCCTCTGCCTGGCATCACTTTGCGATGCTTGGCATCGGGTGCTCGCCTCGCTTGGCCCTGATTTGCTGTGCATCGCATTGCGTGGCAACCGGACAGCGGGGCAACCCGGCAACTGGGCAACCAGACGACTGGGGCAACCAGGCAACTGGGCAACCCGGGTACGCTTGGAGTATGAAAGAGGGGGTCTGCAACAGGGGGTCTTCAATGGGGGCTGAATGGCCCATGTATGCACAATGTACCGCTCCTGTATGCGAATGGGTACGATCGGCATCCAATGTTGGCGGACATGGAGGGCCAGTCGTTCGTGCCAGCGCGTTGCCCGCGCGGGCAAACGCGCCGTCCATCCATTATCGTTCATGCGCCCCCCAGCGTAACTCTTCGGGAGCGGCCAAGAGGGGGGTGTCCAAGAGGGGGGGGTGCAAATCATGACCAGCAGCATGTGCGCGGCCCAGCGGGGGGGCCAGAGACGTAATGAAATGAGAAGAGGCGCCAGGAAATCTGGGGGAATATCATGGCCCCCGCCATGATATCCACCGCCCCCCTAGTCATCACGCCCCTCTTTGCCGCCCCCGAACTCTGTCTGGGGGGCAGCCCGGCCACCGGCAAACCGGGCCACCGGTCGCCCGGGGGCAAGCGCGCGCGCGGCATAGGCGGGGCAGCCCGGGCCACCCTCGCGAGGAAGGCCGGCCAGCGCGGGCCACCGGCGCTTCAGAGACAGCAAGCAGAAAGCCTCGTGCAGTCGGGGCGTTGACCTGAGGAACCCTAAATAAGGAACGAGGCCCATTTTTTCCATGATTAAGTTACCCTTCGATTTCCTGTCGAAAACATGGGGAGAGCCTGAGGCAAGCTGTGAAACGCCTAAGAAACGCGGAGCCCCTCCCCAACCCAAAGGGTTCCTTCTTCAGGGCCCCGACTGTACAGTCGGGTCGGGCGAAAGGGGGGGATGGCAGAAGGGGGGGGGGTTTGAGAATCAGCTCACGTAGCTGATTTTCCCGGCGGCTCCCGGCGCCGTAGGCGGCAATGTATCGAGGAATGGGCCTCTCGGTGAGGCCGAAACCAGTTGCATGCAGCAGATTTCGTACCCGCCCCCCCTTTCCCTATCCCCCCCTTCGTCTGGCCCGATACAGGCAAGCCTCCGTGGGGAATAGCCGGCCGATCCCGCAAACCGGCGTCGGAGGGCTGCCAGGGCGTGCCGCCGCTCCCTCCAAGAGCCGGCGTCGGCATCCCCGTCCCTGCCGCCCCCTGCATCCCGAGTCTCCAGCGCCCCCAGAGCTCGGCCCCAAGACTCGTTCAGGGGTGCGCTCTCGCTCGAACTCCGGGGCGAGCCCAGACGTGGTGACGGGGGGTCCACGGGAGGCCCTGCGCAGGCGAGAAACTGCAAAATGCCTCCTTTCCCACTCGCTCCCCCCCTCCTTCACCTCCTCTTCTCCTCCTCCTCCTCCTCCTCCTCCTCCTCCTCCTCCTCCTCACTCCCTCTCTCCTTCACCTCCTCTTCTTCTCCTCCTCCTCCTCCTCCTCCTCCTACTCCTCCCCCTCCTCCTCCTCCTCCCCCTCCTCTTCCATCTCCCCCTTCCCCCGCCTCCCTCTCCTCCTCATCCTTCCTCCGCCCTCCTCCCCCTCCTCGTGTCGGGGCGGACGACAAGCGGGAGGATCTCGGAGGGGGTGGTCAGCGAACCAGCCACGGGCACCTGGTTATCCCAGCCCTCCTAGGAGGGTGAGACCAACTGCAGAAGCACAACCATCTGGAGCTCCATGAGCGCCCAGGGACATGGGAAAGAGCAGACTAGAAGAAGAGACAAACCTCACAAGCGAGGTCCGAGTCCCGAATCCACCATGGCCTGAGTGCGACGTCTCTCCCTTTCGGCGACACGCAAGAGTGACCCTGGGTAAGAGTGACCTTTGGTGCGCGGCTTTTGGGGGGCCGCGGGGAGACCAGACCTGGGCGCGCAAGCCGCTGCTACCGCTTCGTTTTCAGCCATATGGGGGCCCATCTGTGCCCGCACCAAAGGTCACTCCGGCGAAAGGTCACTCTTACGTCTAGTCGAATCATGACCTGAGTGCGACGTCTCTCCCTTTCCCGCCTCCGCAGCCGCCCTCCCCGGCCTCCCGCCCGCCCGTGTGCAATATCCGCCTTGCAGCGACACGGCGCAGGCCTCACCCACCCGTGCCACCGTTGGCGCTGCCACCCAAAAGGATGTCCGGGCGCTCCGACCCCCACAGAGGCAGAAAACGAGGAGGAGGAGGAGGAGGAGGAGGAGGAGGAGGAGGAGTGAGGAGGAAGAGGAGGAGGAGAGGAGGGAGGAGGAGTGAGGAGGAGGAGGAGGAGGAGGAGGGAGTGAGGAGGAGGAGGACCATTCAAAAAGAAAACGATGAGGAGGAGGCAGAAAACGAGGAGGAGGAGGAGGAGGAGGAGGAGTGAGGAGGAGGAGGAGGAGGAGGAGGCGGAGGAGGCGGAGGAGGAGGAGGAGGAGGACCATCCAAAAAGAGAAACTTCGGGCAGCCCGCACGCACTGCTCGGATCGGCGCCGGCCTCCCCCGGCGGCCCCACTCGGCGCAGCCCGGCTGGCGGGGGAGGGGTTCCCCAGCGCCGATCCCGAAAGTCCGCGCGGACCTCCGCAGGCGCACGCCTACGTAGCCCGTCTTCTTCGAGTGACTCCCCGGCCTTCTGGTGGGCTCGTGTCCCACCGCCACCGCCATACGCTAGAGGGGGGAGGGGGTCCTCCTCCTCTTCCTCCTCCTCTCCTTCCTCCTCATCCTCCTCCTTCCCCCACCAACTTATGGTGGTGGTGGTGGTGGTGGTGGTGGTGGTGGTGGTGGTGGTGGTGGTGGTGGTGGTGGCAGTGGTGGTGGCAGTGGTGGTGGTGGAAAGCAGGCCCATCACCTTCGGTCCCCAGACCTCCGGCGGCTCGTGGCTGGCTGGCTTCTCATTCCGACTTGCCCTTCGACGGCCAAGGGGCACGGGGGCGGCCACCGCGAGCTTTAGGTCGGGCGTGTCCTCCTACAGGCGGACCTTGGACGAACAATAAACAATAGCCCAAAAACAAGCTTAAGAAAAAAACAAAAATACTCAAAGGATCGTCCCCAGTTCTTGCTTCTCCTGTACAAGGACAGGCCCGACCTAATGCGAGCTTAACAAACACCAAGACACCTGGGCGCGACCTTGTGGAGTCGCCAGAGGTCTGAGGTTCTCCCTTCCGAGGACGCCTCCTGTAGCGGTACAGCGTCGGCCCCCAGCCCAGGTCGTCCATACGGCCGCGCGGCGTCGCGAGGCGCTTGAACGCGCTAGATCCGCCGCCGCTTTTGTCGCCGAGTCAGGGGCGGCATGCGAAGCGTCTGACAGATGCCAAGAGCAGCGGATGGGGGCAGAATGATCCTACTCCATGTCCTTTAACGACTTGCAAGGCTGATGTCCGCATGTCTCAACTCCAAGAAACCACATGTAGATCCCACCCCTGCAGGTAAGATCTCTGAACAAAAGCAACTGTCGTTCAGAATTCGAAGGACGTCTGCAGCAAAGTGAACCCCAGCGGGGGTGCCCAATACCTCAGCGACGATTGGACCCGCAGGGGCAGGGTTCGCAGTGAGTCGCAGAAGCTCTGAATCGCTTCCACCTCCTTCCAGCCAGGTGGTCTCAATCCCGCGCTTGTTGCGGATAGGACGGTCGGGTCGGACGAGGGCGGGAGCGAGCGGGCGCGCTACCAGACACCAAAAGCGAAACGCCTCCGCCGCCCACCACGCCACGCTGTCATGCCGTACCATAGCGTAGAGCAAATACGGAATACTCACAGCGGGTTCGCCCATGCCACGAGGCGTATCCCATTGCACGAGCGCGCAAGTTGGGAGGAGGACATCTATCTACTCACACCCACATACCAGGCAAACGAGCATAGGACGAGTTCAAGAGAATGAACGTGGCAACTTCTTCGGATCAAAATGAACGAACATAAATACCACAACCTGTCTGCTCATATCCTCCTCCTCCTCCTCCTCCTCCGCCGACTCCTCCTCCTCCGCCTCCTCCTCCTCCGCCTCCTCCTCCTCCGCCTCCTCCTCCTCCTCCTCCGCCTCCTCCTCCTCCTGCTCCTTCTCCTTCTCCTCCTCCTCCTCCTCCTCCTCCCCTCCTCCTCCTCCTCTTCCTCCTCCTCCTCCTCCTCCTCCTCCTCCTCCTCCTCCTCCTCCTCCTCCTCCTCCTCCTCCTCCTCCTCGCCTCCTCCTCCTCCTCCTCCTCCTCCTTCTCCTCCGTCTCCGCCTCCTCCTCCAACCCCCCTCTTCCTGCTCCTCTGCATGTCCTCCATATCCTCTTCCTCCCTCGCCCTCCTCCTCCTCCACATCATCATCGTCATCATCAGCATCATCAGAATCATCAGCATCAGCATCAGCATCAGCATCAGCATCATCATCAGCATCATCATCATCATCATCATCATCATCATCATCAGCATCATCATCATCATCATCAGCATCATCATCAGAAGCATCAGCATCAGCATCATCATCATCATCATCATCATCATCATCATCATCATCATCAGCCTCATCATCATCAGCACCATCATCAGCATCAGCATCATCAGCATCATCATCATAATCATCCTCATCATCCGCATCATCCTCATCATCATCATCATCATCATCATCATCATCATCATCATCATCATCATCATCATCATCATCCGCCCTCCTCCTCAGCATCATCATCCTTCTCCTCCTCATCCTCTTCCTCCTCCTCCTCCTCCTCCTCTTCCTCCTCCTCCTCATTCTCCTGCACCTCCTCCTCCCCCATTCTCCGTTCACCCATCATTTGTCATCAATACCCCGCCACCGTATCCCTCATCCTCGTAATGCATCCTCTAATCGCCGTCCTCATTGACCTCGTCCTCCCCCACCACTGCGCATCATGACCACTTGCGAGTATGCAACGATATGAATGTATGCAAAGATCTGCACGAGTAGATCAGCACTCGCCTAATCCTCCTCCTCCTCCTCCTCCTCTTCCTCCAGCTCCTCCTCCTCCTCCTCCTCCTCCTTCCTCCACTCTACAATTACTCAGCATGAAGATCACTCTCATCTTTCCATTCACTACGTCCTGGAAGTATCCCGCCCCCCTCTCCACCTTTTTTTCACTCTCACACACACACGTACACACACACACACACGCAGACATAACTGTAACATGGGAGTCTCGGTGTTTGAAAATGTTCCCGCTGCAGCACTGGCCTCATGCTGGGATCGGCCCCCGTCATTCAGAATGGTGTCCTTCCCCGTGCACGGGCCACAGTATATACAAGGATCCGAATGCGTCCTGGTCATTGTCGCCCCGCTCCATTCCCCTCATCCGCCTTCACCTGGTCCTCCTGCTCATTCGTGCTGCTCCCGCTCCTCCTACTCCTGCTCATGCTGCTGTTCCTCCTCGCCCTCCTCAATTACACTCTTCCTCCTCCTCCTCGGCCTCCTCCTCCTCCTCCTGCTCCTCCTCCTCCTCCTCCCATTTCTCCTCCTTCTCCTCCTCCTCCTCTTCCTCCTCCTCCTCCTCGTCCTCCCCGAATGTGCATGCAATGCACTTTAGTGATTGTGCAGAACACGATGGGGTCCTTTACGACTGTCCAGGTCTGCTAGGATACCCGTCGGAGGATCGAGAAACATTGCGAAATAGGAAGGGATGGGTAGGAGGAGCACCATGCCAGACATGGCCCGAGGAGCCCCCGCTGGCCACTCTCCTCTCCTTCTCGTCCTCCTGTTCCACCTCGCCCACCTCCTCCCTCCTGCTCCTCCGAGGGAGGCATGGGAAACAAAAAATTGCTCCTGGTCCCCTGCTGGTCCATGGCCGCCGGTTCGTTGAGGTACTTCCCGGTGAGCATGCCGCCGGCCAGCGCCTCGGCCGTGAGCCAACCACCTCCCTCGTGCTCCTCCTCCTCCTCCTCCTCCTCCTCCTCCTCCTCACTCCCTCATCCCCCCTCCCCCCGCCTCTGCCCCTCCCTCCCAGTCCGCTGTATCCTCCCCATCCTCGCCACTCCTCACTCACACTCTTCCTCCCCATCCTCCCTCTCCTGCTCTTCGTCGTCGCCCTCCCCCTCCCTCCTCATCATCACTCCCGCACCTCTTCGTCCGCCTCCTTTCCCGCCCGCTCTCGCTCCACTTCCCTCCACCTCCGCCTTCTTCTCCTCCTCCTCCTCCTCCTCCTCCTGCTCCTCCTCCTCCTCCTCATCACCCCCCCTTCCTCCTCACTCCTCCCCTGATTGGGTGAGGCAAACGGCTGCATTTCCAAAGCTGCTGGGCTGCTTCCCAGAATCATCCCACTCTGACTCGAAAAAGAAGGCCGCAGTAGCCCCGTCACAACCTGGTCAACAGATAAGCCGGACCAACGGCTTCACTGGCCCAACCGGCCCCAAAAACAACAGCCTCGCGCAAAGAAAAGGTCCTCATCATCCTCCACGCTCTTCCCCTCTCTCGTGGTGAATTGCAAGGACTCATTAGAAATGGTTCCTTCAGTAAGGATTTTTGTGGTAACGAGTCTTCATCAGGAAATCATCCAGAAATGACACCTTAAATAAAGATGGGTGAAATAAGGAATGATGTAACAAATAATCCGGCAATCCAGAGCCCCTAAGATGTATTCATGCAGTAGGTGTCCCTTGCATGAGGAGTCCGCCGACCCCTTGTGGGTCTCTAGGCGTGTGAGATTGTTCCCCCCCATGAGCCCCCCCCAGGACCCCAAACCGGCAATTTGACCCCCCCCCGTCGGACCCGACCCACCCCCGAACTCATCAGGGGGGGCCTGGCTCCCCAGGATCGCTGTGTAGCTCCAAGACAGCCCGTCGAGACCCCCAAGACACTCCCAAGACGGTCCACGAGAGCACAGAGTCTCCGAATGATCGCTTCAACACGCCCAGGTGGCGACGACGACGACGACGACGATGGCGACGACGACGACGACGAAGGCGACGGCGGCGACGACGACGACGACAGCGACGACGACGACGACGACGACGGCGGCGACGACGACGTCGGCGGCGGCGGCGACGACGACGACAAGATGGACCCAGGAGGACCCAGGAAGCCGCCAAGACACCCCAAGATGCCTCCAGGAGGCCTCTCAGGAAGCCCCCACGACGCCCAAATTGTCAATTTCCAAAAGGAAAACGTGCATGTTTAAAATACGCGCCTTTTTCAGCCTTCGCGGCGTTGACGACACCCCAAAGAGGCCCCCAAGACCGCCCCACGACGGCCCAAGAGGCCCCCAAAGGGACCTCCAAGGCAGCCCAAAAGGACTCCGAAACGGCCCACAACGCCCCCAAGACGGCAGATGAGTGCCCCAAAACGGTTCGAAGAGGGGCCCAAAAGGGGAACTCGAACCCATAATTCCAACGCTCCGCCCGAAGAGGCTCCCAGAAACTCAAAAGATGCCCCCCAATAGATCCCAAAAGGCCCCCAACCGGCACCCAAAACCCCAGGATGCCCCGAAGAGGATAAACTGAGACCCCAAAGCGGCTTCAACAGCCTTCCAAACTGCGTCCAGAGAGCCCACGAAAAAAGGGCCCCGACGAGATCCCAACGGACACCCCAGACGCTTCTTACCCAAAACCCAAGCACGGTGGCGGGGTGTGCCGAAGGCGGCTGGACAACGCACGGAGTCCAGCTGTAGCGACGGCATCGCAACAGGACGCCCGACCCACAGCTTCTATGTTCAAGTCTCCCCCTCTGGCCCCCCCCCACCGCGACGTCGCCCGACTCCCTTCAGAAC